AAGTTTGCACTTCGGTCAAATTTCTCAACATAAGACTTTGTTAGAGTCATTTTGGCTATTTAAACTAACCCGGTTAGATCTGGCTCTGATACCAATTTGTTAGGATCGAAAACCCGGGTAGTGCGAAATATAGCCAAACAACGGTATAATGGCAATAACAAAGACAATGGAAGTTGATAACAACGACAATTAAAGTAGATAAAGAAGACACAAATTTAACGTGGTTCAGTCAAAGTGACCTACGTCCACAAGCGGAGAGGGGCAATTTACTATAACAATAAGAGTACAAAAGAAAGTACAAAATTAGAGTAAATACTCTAATTAATCCCAAATACCCTAAGAAAATAACCTCACAAGATCACTCCAAAGAAAAGGTTCACACAAGTATTTTCCAACACTCACTCTCTTACAAAATACTCTATAATGAAATAAAGGAGGAGAAAGAAAGACAAGAGTGAAAAGCTCTTGAATTGGTGTGTTTGCAAATGAGGAGAAACTCCTCTATTTATAGCAAGAAATCATTGGCCTAATAATGGATATTATGTCATGGCAAATGTCATGATCCACAAATTTGTTATAATGGATATTATGTCATGGCAAATGTCATGAAAATTTGGCCATAGTACAATCTTTATTACTCTATTAAACAAATTAAGGGGGGCGGGGCTATCTAAGTTATGCTTCTTGAATTCTTTTATTCTTCTTAACAGTTAACGTACTCTAGTTTGCATAATCTTCCTAATTTACCTATAATTTGAATATCGCCAATAATAAGTAATTGGACCAAGATAGTGCTATTGACGGGTTGACACGGCTTGCGCCCAAAGACGGATCCAGGACCTAAATTTAATGGGTTCAGTTTTTAAGATCTTTAACATTGAATTCATTGTATTGTTAAAATTATATGTTTAAATCTAATATTTGTTGAGATTTTAGTAGGTTTTTACATATAAATTCATACTCTGTGTCGAAAGTTATGGGTTCAGTTGAACCCATAGCTAAAAGGCTACATCCGCCCCTGCCTGCGGCTATGGAAAACATGTGTGTTTGGTATGACGGACATACTTACTGAGAAATGATTTTAGTAAAGTAAGTTATTTTCTGATATTTAGTTCTTTGATAAAAAAAAAATTCAATCAAAAAGGCAAAAGTCATTTTTCTTCACAACTGTGCATATCAAACTCTTAACTTCATAACACTGCTCCAATCAACACTTAATATTATTATTAATATTTATGACTGACATACTTATCCGATTTGCTAATATTATTATCAATATTTTAGTAAATGTTATTAAAGATTGTGACAACTAGAGTACAATCATCCGCAATAATAGTTCCGTTGAACAGGATTCTGACATTAGGACTTGATGTTATATGACATTTAGTTATGTATAGTTTTTGACTTATAATATGACAGAAGCATAGTCGAGCAAAAATACAGCCATTTCCATGTCATAGTCGAGTTAATTTACTTGGGCTTATGAAAACTAACATAAGAGAAGGGAGTTAGAAGTCCACTTCTAGAGCATCTCCTGGTTAGCTCCTTATTCCAATTTAACAGATACTGGGCTTCTAACAACATATTTGTTAGAGATCCATGATATAGCTCCTTGTACAGAACGGCCGGTGATGCCACCTGTTTGGGAAAAGGAAACTGAATAAGTTGCCTGTTGGTTCACCTTGGTGAAGACAAGCGTGGTAGGCTCGACAACTATATAAACTCCTTGAATTCGAGTGATGTTAACAACGTAAGTTGAGCTTGCATCGCCAACATTTGTGACTGTTCTTGTATAGTTTTGCGTCTGTGGTCCAAGTATAATGGAGAAAGAAGGATAGTTCAGTTCTGCCTCAGGTATGCTCACTTGTAGCGAGCAGTTGCCAGTTTGTTGCACGACGAGCCCAATCTCTTTATCTGTGTAGCCAAGACCGCATAGATACTGGATGTAGTTATGCGGTTGGATGTCATAAATAAGTCCTGGATTACATGCTTTTAATGGATTTATATGGCCAGAACCAGTGGCAAAAACATCAGCAGGTTGATTCCTGTGATCAAGGATGGGCTGACCTTCAAGATTAGATTGATCAGCTGTGGTCATCATTGCAGATTTAATAGCAGCCGGTGACCAATCAGGATGTGCACTTTTAAGCAAAGCCGCAATGCCACTAAGGTGAGGACAGGAGATTGAGGTACCTGAGACAATGTTAAATGTCAAATCGGTGCCAGTTTTGTTCTCCACTGAGACGTGCGTTGCTGCAAGGATGTTCACTCCAGGACCGATAATGTCTGGTTTTACTATGCCTGGACTTGCCAAGCTTGGACCCCTGGAGGAAAAAGATATTACAGATGGTGCACTCTTAAAGCCTATCTTTGTGCCTTTGAAAAGGATTCTTGCCAAAGGCGTTGAGGTTGAGTTTATGTACGCTTTAATCATTTCCCCTGCATTGTAACCCACATTTGTTGTAGGAAGGACATCGACATAAGCTAATGTGCCATCTCCGTCAATCTCTAGATTGATTAGAATCATGGCAACACCACCTGCATCCTTTACTGTTTGCCCTTTCTCAAGTCTTGCTGTACTACCGCCACTTTTGTCACACACAACAACCTTGCCTTTGACATCAGTGCTATTCAATGATCCTGATGAACATAATGCAGCCTTTTGATCTAACAAGCCAGGGTATACTAAGGGAAATAAGATATCATGAGGAAAGCCTGTGGGCTGCAAAACTGATTCACCGTTATATTCTTGTCCATTCCCTAGCACAGCTGTTGCCACTATCTTTCTATCATGGGTGCTAGCGCCAACGGTGAGAATCCAAGGGGCCTCATTTGATAGGGTAGCACTGAGTGGACCATCATTACCGGCTGAAGCGCTCATGAAGATACCCTTTTGGATTGCAGCAAAAGCGCCAATGGCCATACCGTCGTCATAAAAAGGAGCATTATATCCACCAATGGAGAGAGAAAGCAAATCAACACCATCATCTATTGCAGCATCGATTGCAGCCAATGTGTCAACATCTGAACAACCAACGTTTGAACACACCTTGTACATGGCAATGTGGGCAAGAGGGGCAATGCCGGCTGCTGTGCCATTGGCATTGCCAAACACATTTGCATCGTCAACAAAGTTTCCAGCTGCTACGCTTGAAGTAAGTGTTCCATGGCCTCCTTCTTCATATGGTGGATCAGTTGAACCGCTCACAAAATTCCTCGCACCAATGAGCTTCTTGTTACACGTTATGTTTCCTGTAAATTCACATTTCCCTTTCCACTTTTTTGGTGGAGGTGGCATGTTATCATCACTAAAAGATGGATGTCCTGGATTAATCCCAGTGTCCAGAAGCCCAATGATCACACCCTTACCATAATTTGACTCTTGCCAAAACCCCATATTTTGGTACAACCCCAAGAAGTTTGGAGTATGTGTTGTATGCAAAGCCAAAATCTTCTCAACCCTCGCCGACACAAAACCATCTTTCTTTTCCATTTCTTTTACCTCCTCAGCTGACAATCTAGCTGCAAAGCCAGTAGCCACATGGTGATATGAGTGAATAATGCGTGATGGCTCCTCTGAGCCAGCAGTCGCTATTGGTAAAAATGAGTTATAGTAGCTTTCTAGATCATCTGAATTAGACACAACTTGGGCTTCGGGCTTATTTACACGGACAAGGTAAGTTTGTAAGCCGGTTTGAGGTTGAGCAATACTCAAACTGAAACTCAACAAGAAAGCAATGGAGAAGATAAAAATGCAAGTCAGAGTTGGTTTTTCTAACATTATTCAAAAGTTTAATTATGGATGATGATCTGAAAATAAGGAACACGACATTTATAGTATGAATTGAGGGAAGAAGGATATGATAAACCAACGTATGAAAACAAACACATAGCTTTCTGAAACAGCCGGCCTACTAACATAAGTTGTTGTACTTTAGGATAAGCTGAAAAACATCATAACAAGATAGGAAGTAAATTAAACCAGACTGTAGTATTTTTTAGGAGACGAAAATAGAATTATTTGTTTCATTGGTTGAGTAAACTATTAGCTCAATCCTAATCATCCAAAAGCAGTAACTAAGGATAAAATATGGGTTTATCAAGTATATGATTATTCCTTGTATTTTATGTTAAATCATACTACATTATAAGTGGGAAGACCTTAGTGTAAAGTTGAATTACGAAAATATCCATAAAAAACTGATTGACTATTTTGCCCTTCACCAAAAAAAAATTAGATTAAATAATTTCAGCTACATTATTCATTATTAATGCCCATGAGTCCCTTCCAATTCATTACAAGCACTCATATGATCAGCTTTTAGTAAGACTTGGTTTTCTCGGACAATGTTTATCTAATTAAGCTTTAGTGCAAATCCTACAAAACATGTCCATATTCAATAAAGACGGAAGCAATTAGAATTTATTACAATACGTAAAAAGCACCGATAAATGCCAAAGACAATTAAAACTCAACAGACTATCCAAGTTAACTTACAAACACCAAATATTCCAGGTGTGAGTGGACTTGACAAGCTTGACTTTTTGGTGTTTATTTTCATTTTTCACATCTCCCATGGAAGAATTAAGTGCAATTATGTACTTCATCTTCAAGTCATTTATTTATTTTTCTTCCTTCTGGGCAGAAACAAATACTCCGTTCATTTTTACTTGTCCACTATTGACTTTGCACAACCCTTAACAAATAATAAATAAAGTGCATAATTTACTATGATACTCATATTAATTGGTGTATAGTCTTAATAGATTTAAAAAATGATTTGGAATGAGTAATTAATGCTAACGGCAAAACACAAAAAATAAACTATTTTTCTCTTGATATGCGAAAAGTAACAAGTAAAAATAAAATTTTATTTTTAGAATACTTGACAACTAAAAGTGAATGGAGTGGAGTGATAAATTTCAACATTTGACGAAGATGCAATGCATTAGCACCACTTCTTGCAATTCGTTTTTACTTTATTTCTCTAGCAAAATGCTTTTTTATGATGCAAATATACATTCTAATAAAGACCAAAAACAATTATTAGGAGAGATTTAAAAAAACTGAAAATGAGAGATCTAAAGGAAAAGAAAAAAGAAAAAGATGAAGAGGAAGATCAAAAGTTGTTTTTTTCCTAATAATTGTGGACCTTTCAATTTCTCTCGATAATACCATTTATTTTTTCCTATCAGACATTCTATGTATATATCTCTTTTAATTTTCATTTGTAACAAAAAGAGAATTGAAATACAAGAAGCTGCTAAGACACCAAACGGTTCTTTCTTTTTGATCCATCTTTAAGTCTAGCTGTAATATACTCTCTAAGCTAAGTATCAATTTTTTATGTATGTTGCAGCTTCAGATGTGTAGGAGTTATTCGATTCTTGTGACTCTTGTTCTTCTTCTTCTTTTCCTACTACTTGGATCAAGTTTTCGCAATAAGTAATGTGATTTGATCACATACATTCTTTGATGTTGTATGTTACATCCTGGGTAGTGAACTAACCAAATTTTCTTTTGGTCATTAGGTTGATAATTTAAGGGAAAAGTCATAAAAAGACAACGGTTTATCAGCTGTGTTTTATTTTTCTTGAAGTTTTCAGTTTTTGTTAGAAAAACATATTAATATTTGTTGTTTTTTTTTTTTTAATTATATATTTTTGGTAGACTTTTTAGCCTTTAAAAAGCTATTGCGATCGTTAAAAAGGGTCGGATGGGCGTGGCTTAGACCGTAAGTCTTGTAGTGACAGGATCGTAGTAATGCCACTTTTATCGCTAAGCTTGCATTCTCCACTTCGGTTAGAGGATTGATTTTCTTAACCTTTTTGGCTTTTGAGATTTAACTTTTGGAAATATTTTTAAAATATGTATGGGGTAGAATTTTGTTGTTTAATATACTGTTTATAATATTTAACACAAGATATATTTTATATAAAATTTTATAATAAATGACACGAAATACACGTACATCGCATTTCCAAACAATTAATCATTTTGCAATTTAAGACTACCAAATCATTTTGCAACTGTTAAGTCGGTCATATAAGCTTACGGTTCATCATTTTGAGCTTTTGTTTTTTTCTTTCGATTATACATCGATCATACACATGTTAAAAAGTATTTTTGTGATTTAAAAAGTTTGAACTTATTGACATGGAATACACGTGCAACGCACGTGTTCAGAAATTAGTTTTAAAATACGACGTTAAATAAATTATGATTACACTCATATTGGGGTCCTGTTTTGATAACAGCTTTGTTATTCCGGTGTAGGAGATGATTATTGTCAAAATTTAATCTCTCCCCCTACTTTCTAAATTGAAAATCCTTGAAATTTAACAGAATTTTAATAAAATCTGTAATGACGATGCTGTTTGATAGTACTAGTATTCTTATATACAATCCCATTTGACGAAATACAATCCTTTAATTTTCTTTTTTCTTTTTCATTCACAAACTTGAAATGCAACAAAATCGCGAATGGCATATTAGTAGATCGTCTATCATTATACAGTTTCATCCAACAACGACGACAACAAAGAACAAACCCAGTAAGTTCCCACAAGTAATTTCCTCAAATAAATAAAACATATCTGACTACTAAGTACTAAGTATGCCAAAAAATAACAACAATAACAACGTAGAAATTTTGTACATATCAGACGAAGCGTAACCAAAATCCAAGGAACAAAGTCCAATAATATAAGCTTAACACTATTAAAATCCAAATAACTCATCATTCATGGGAACTCCTAACTAGTTGTCGTTCTCAGAGTATTAAGTACTAACGTCCTTTTATCAATAACTGGTCAAATGGACCTCATTCCCAATACCCTCTCAGTTGATAAATGCTATGCGTCAATATTACGCTCCATAAAGGGCAGCCCAGTTGCACTAAGTTCCTGCTATGCGCGGTGTCCGGGGAAGGGCCGGACCACAAGGGTCTATTGTACACAACCTTATCCTACATTTCTGCAAGAAGCTGTTTCCACGGCTCGAACCCATGACCCCCTGGTCACAAGGCAACAACTTTACCATACTCCATCTGATCAAAAAATATAGAACCACGTTATACGAACAATGAAATAATGGCAAACCACGATCACATTGCCCACAAAGAAATGGTCACTTTCTCATCTGCAAATGTATCTTGGATATGCATTTGCATGTTTACAATCTGTAGCTAAACTAATTTCCTACAGGTTTGTTCAGTGAACTGCAGTTGTACATCCACAACTTTGACAATTTACAGAATGAATTAATGCATGGAACAGCATATAGTGATACAACTTACAAAGAACATTCAGAGTTTTTAGGAGCTTAAATTTCAGAGTTGCTTAACCTGCGTACCTACATGACTACTTATACATTATTAGAAATGGACCAAATTTGTTTGAACAGGTGTTTGTATCTATTTGCTCGTCGCTGAGTCTCCAGATTTCAACTCTTTCTCCAGCTCATCAAATTCCCAATCACCTATCTCTTCTGCAGAGTAATCGCGAGTAATCTTACCAAATTCAGATTCCAACTTTGCCAACTCTGCTTCAGGGTCCAGGGCCTGCTCTATTTTGGCAGATGGTGGTTCATTTTTCTTGCTTTCCCCAGCTACGGCAATTTTTATGGCCTGCTTTTTAGGATGTGAAATATTATCATCTACCATTTCATGGGAAGAATCGTCTCCCTCTTGGACAGGGATTTCCATTTCTAAATTTGGTCGTTCAATAGATTCAAATTCCTGTCTTAGCTTCTCAATGTTTTCAAACAGCTTTTTCATATCTGGATCATCTTTCCTAAAGAAACGGGACAAGTAATTTACTTGATGAACCATCGCACCTAAAAAAGGATATAATAACAAAGAAAACACGATAATGCACAGCCAAACCTGGAGATTTTCTCTTGTTGAGAGTAGAACTGCTCCCTCATGTTGTCAACTACACTAAATGTGGTTATAATCTGCACTTATGAGACATAAATTTGAGAAATCTAGATTGATTTTACAAGGAATATGGAACAAAGTAAAAGGCAAGACCAATTCATCCGAAGATGCTCTCGAGCTTATCTTTAGAAGGTCTACTTATTAGATAGAAGAGGAAAAATTAGAAGTATGAATGAACAAAAGTAGCGCAGGTGAGAGGTTCAATGATATGGTTTTAATTAGAAAAATTGTATTATACCAATTCTCAGTTAATATAGTGTACATAACCACAAGTAAATTTCTCAAACCATCTGAATGTATCAGTTCTTCTTCAGATTATTTTCAGTTCAACTAAAGTACGGTACAATATTTTTAAAAAGATAAATAAGAATGTCAATGATACTACTTTTTATATACAACAATGAATTTTTATCCAAATAATAAAATTTATAAATGTCCCAATATAAAAATAAGAAACTAGTACCTGAAAATATGTTAAAACTAGTGGATCAAATAAGAAACACTAGCCTTTTAAGCATTTTTTTTATTTTCTTGAAAGTGTGATTTACTTTGTTATGTCATCATTGGATACACCATTCAAAATTGTTTCGTTATAGTCTATATATTAGATTGTTATACAAAACTACAAACTGTTAAATAAATAAAAGCTAAATTAGATAGATCAATAGAAGTATTGAATATAATTAAATGTTATCCATATTAATTAATGCTATTCACCATCGTCTTGTTAAAAAGATTCTCATAAAATTAGAAAAAAATATATGATGATGAATTGGAAAATTTGTAACTATAGTAATAAAGCAAAACTAGTAAATTGAAATAGTATCTTAAAGTTATAAAT